AACTCTATCCCAGCCGAAACCAGGGCAAGTTTTAACTTGTGGTCATACATGAATTCTATTTTTGATACCCTCCACAATGTATCAAAGTAGAGCAGGTTCATGCTGTTTTCATATTAGGAGCTTTTACTCTGTGGAATCCAGGGTGTCTCACTTTTCCTAATTAATGTGATGAAGGACTGTGCTTGCTTTACACTAATATAGGCAGAAGTATTTCAAGGAAGGGGAAAGAATATACAATGCATTGTTTTCTATAACAGAAGTTCTTTCATTGATTATACATATTTGTAGAGATTTTTTTTTTCCCCCCATGAAACACAATGGAAAATTTACTAATCCAAAAGACTACACTTTTAGGCAAGATATTTTCTGACAGTAATAAACCAGAAACTGGACCAAGAGATCTAATCAGTTACAAACATCCATGTACATACTATTTTTTTTTTTATTCAAAAGATACATCTGTCTTTTTAGCGTAAAAAAACCCAAACAAAACAACAAAAACACACAATCATGAAAGTTGTGTAAGCATGTATTCCAGAAGTGTCACAAGTACCTTTTTGTGGCTGTAAATCACAACCCACTGCGAACAGGAGGGAAACAAAGACTTCAAACACTCTATAAAGTATGCTAGGATATTTTTACCTAGTGGTCCTTCTCCTGCAGATTCCAAGACTTGAGCAGCTTCCTGTGATACCACTGTTATTGCACCAACCACCGATTCATGGTTTACATCACCATTTGGTGTGCCATCTGGAATTATAACTAACCCATGTTTCTAAAAATACAAGAGAAAAAAAAAAAACCTACTCATACAACAGCAGTGCTAAAATAGAATTGGACAGAAAAGTTTTTAAAAAGCTTTTCAAGTTGATCAAAACAGTTACAACAAAACGCGCCATTTATCCTACCCTAAGGTCAGGTTCTGAGACTGCACAAAAATAGTAACCATTCTTCCTCTTTTTCATTGACCTTGATTTCATGCCCCATTCCTGGATTTCTGTTACTGTAAAGTAACTACTACCAACATACCTCTCCTCTCTTCATTGTTTCCTTCAGGTCAGCCAACTCCTCTCTGAGCTCATCTCGCTCATTCTTAATGCAGTCAAAGTAATCTTTCTGTCTTTCTAGGGCCTGGGTTCAGGCAGATAGCAAGAAAAAGAATGGCACAGAGAAAAAGCATATGACAGATAGCAGAGAGATTTTCTACAAGTAAATACAAAGAGCTCAATAAAAGTAAAGAAATTAACAGGGGTATTTAATATATGTAAACATATATCTCTGACAACTACCTTTTACAAGTCACACATCTACCCTCATTGCTGCATGTTTGTCATGACATCATTTTTTCCCAGGCAAGTCTTAGCAGATTCTATAATAGATTTTTATTTAGTGGATTCTATTTTTGGTAGATTTTGATAAACTAAATTGAATACCAAAAGAGTAAGTGATTCTTCTTAATACAAGCGCTCAGTGGCCAGAAATAAAATGTGCTGGAACTCAATTGGCAAAGATCCTAAAACATTACATTCGTTGAACTAATTTCTCTACCTTTTATAAGGTAGAGAAGTAGAAATTTTACCTCATAAAAGACCTTGGATATATAGCCTGTCATCCACTTAAAAACACTAGTTTAGCTACTACTTGCTTAAGTATTACAACCACCCTTTACTAAAACCAAAGCAATCAGTTTTAGAGCACACAAGTGCAGGAAACACTAGCAGCACTATTTTAGCACAAGAAAGGATTGCAGCTAAAAGTGCAATATGGACGTAGATGGGTTTTGTACCTATGCTGGAGCTGTGCTACCTGGCAGTTAATCAGACATTTTCACTTGATGGGGCAGCATCCCAATATTCCATTCAAATTCAATACCACATGCATTACAAATAATCCTGACCGTACAGCAACTGCAAAAGTGTACACACATTCTGCCAAGAAAATTATCCAACTAGATGTTATGTCATGCGTGAATGTTTAGGAATGGACTGATACAAAGAAAGAAATGAAGGTGTATAGCTTTGTTTTGTAATTGCTCCACATAACAACTGCAGTATGCTGAATTTTAATAATTATCTAGAATCTGTATACTAATGTTTTAATGCATTACTCTTAATTTCAACAGAAAAACTTAAATGCTGTTGCACTTGATTTATTAGTATGCAAAGGCAACGTTTAAAATATAGGTAATTCAACATGTGTGAAAGCATTAACTGTCACATCACGGTTTATGAATTCATAAAATGTCCTTTTATTTCCTAACACATACGAGATCTCTGTAACTACATTATAAAGAGTGTGAAGGACCTTAATCATTACATCGTTTGGTGTTCCACTTAAAGATAACATATACCTTTTCCATTTTTGAAGAACAGTGGCAGAGACAGAGAGGGAAGTAAGCTCAACCACTTGAGAGACTGGACACAAAGGCCCAGAATCACGCTGCAGACAGATCCTCTGTGTGCTTGGCAGTGCCCTGTGATGCTGCTGACCTTCCCAAAACATCCTTTCTATCCTCACCCTCTATGTGCAACTGTTGGAAATCAGAAACTTCTGATGGGGAAGGAAGTGAAATCATATAACCATCTATCTCTACCTATGGAGAGATTAGTAAACATTATTCCATGTTGAAAAACTTTAGTAAAACTGCTGGTGTTTGTATGCTCAGGGGTTTTGATACATGAAATGGATTTTGCACTAAATCTACTCCTGCAATTCTTCTATTGTGGGCCGGGGAGGGAATAAAGGTCAGGACAACTAAGCTCTGCAGGCATATTTTAACATACCAGTATGATTAAAATCTGATCACTCAGCAGAAAGCAGATTTGTCTGGGGTCCTATTTTCTAAATACTCCAAAAACCTTCACAAAACCTATACTAAACTCAGACACGCCATTGCTAATTTCAAATTGGTAACGGATGTACAACTTGGAGCCACTAAACGGTAAAATAGCTGTACGTTATAGTTCACTGTCCTCAAACTGATCTAATTTAAGACCAAATACAACTGTAAATTGCAATCACTTTGTAGAAACAGGACAATATAAGAAGGCAGGTGTAAAACAGAATCATGCTATCTCTGTTCTGCTTGCCTCCCTTTCTTTCTCTGAGGCAGCATAAGTCTTACATACATTGTAAAACTAGGTTACAATTCTAATTACAAACCACTCCTTTGTGAAGCTTCTCAGAGACTTCTGAAGCTGGAAGAGAGTAAAAATTAGCAAAACTACTTGATATTGGGGAGGAGGACTCAAAAACTGTGAACTACGAAAAAAATGTAAATGTTTTTAGATAACGAAAACAAGAAAGAAAAGACAGCAGCACTTTTACATTTTAAGAACTAAGAAATTTCAATTCCAATATAGTAGAAAAATAAAAACTATGAAAAAAATCCAGTTATGGTCTTTACAAGAACACAGAAACTGGCAGGAAAATTTTGGCTAAAGGAAAAAATATCTTTCTTCTCAGTTTTTGAACATTAGATAGATGATATGCTCTGTACTAACTCCAGCAACATATTTGAAGGGAAAAAGTGCTTGCTCAAAATTGGGACAGTCCAGTACAAAAAGGCAAAATGTAAGTATGGAAAGAATATGGTTAATTAAAGATAAAAAAACCTTTCAGAAGAATGTTCAGAAGAAAACTTAAAAACATTGAAATATTATTTTATGATGGAAGAGAGGATTGCAATATGAACTGAAGGACTGAAACATGAAATAAATATGGACTGAATAAAGACAATATAACAGGGCTGTGTTTAACTGGGCACCACCTGTTAAAAGATAACTTTTCAAAGTGACTTGAACTCCAGCAAATACAGCAATTTTCAAAGAAATCTGCATATGTCAAAATCTGGCGTAAAACTCATTCAGTTAGAGAGAAATGACTCCACAGTTACTAAAAGGCAGACAATTCCTTTCTAAAGACTATCCAGCTAACTCTGTCTCACCACCACGCAATCTGCTTGTGGCCCAGAACAGCTACAAGTTCAGAGCCATGCAGTTATCACCAAGGATCACGCTGACTCTGAGACAGTTTTACCACTTCTGTCCTGCCCAGAAGCAAAGCTGACAAACTCTGCCTGACCTACATTAGCTGTGTAGTGCGTTACCAACTCAATTCTTCCTGTACCACGTTCTTTTCTACACAGGAGTCCTACAGATGCTCCTCAAAAGGTCCCGTGCAACCACTGTTTTTCCAACTCTCAGTTCCAGCAGTTGGTAGCTCTGGTATTTTGTTTGTGGCATCACAAAACCATCTTTGTCCAGTGTTGCATCCAAGCTAACCAGCCCAAGAAGGATCAGAAGTGCAATACAGGAATGTGTAAGTGTTGCTCCAGAAGTCAATTCAAGATCTCGCTCTCCCTCTCTCTCTCTCTTTTTTTTTTTTTTTTTAACACTAGGTATGAAAAATGCAAGCACGATCTACAAATACTCACTGAGGCTTCTCTACATTTTGACCTTAGCTCCTGCAGCTCCCTAGGTTTTCCATTATTTGGGGTATTTTGTCTCTCTTACCCGAGGGAGTGGAAAGCAGGCCATTTTAGAATTCACTAAGTGTTATGCAAACTGTTAAGATGATGACAGAGGCAGGAGCCAAATGGCAAGCAAGGTTTAAACTGTTCAAGTTTTGAAAATTGTATTTGCCTCTAAGGAGATTAAACGCTTTAAAAATAATTTCAAATCTGTATAAAATGATATTATTGCTATGTCACTATGGATCAATATATAGACCCAGGCAATTTTTACATTTGTTAAGAATAAGGAAATGATTACTTTTCCAAGCCCTGATTGCAGGTAAAAAAATATTTTGTAAAAAATTACAAAATTGTACGCATAACAGTTTATTATGTTATAGATTTAATCAGTATTATTCATCATTATGCAAGTGAAGATGAAGCGGAGCTCATTTTCTAAAGAACAGAAAGACTGCAAAATGTTTTCAATATTTAAATTGGGAGTGGCCTTCATTTCTTTGGAGTACACAGCATTCCTTGGGGGGGGTGGGAGGCATCTATCTACTTCTAAAATGAAAAAATACCTTTCCCCCCATATTTGTTTCATACCCCTATTTTTTTATCTTTCCAATTAATTGTCTCCTGGAGATCAAACACCTCTTTGGTTATGGAGTCTATATTCTGCTGCATGTGTTGATTCTCCTGTAGTAAATAGGACGAGGGAAGAATAAAAGAGGAAAGAGAAGTAAGGAAATGGAAAAAAAAAAATTCAAATAGATAAAGGAAATTAAATAGTAAAAGTCAACCAAAGAGCTTATGAGCATGAAGTTAAAGAAAAGGGTGCTACTGAGTGTAACATAATATTTCCCTTATGAATTCATGGAAGAGAATGGTAATTAATTTTATTCAATCACAGTTCCCATTGCAGACTGGGGAGAACATCCTTTCTTTAGGAAAATAAATACCCTGTGGTAATTTCCAGATACCTTCAAGTCCTGTTTGGAAGTAAACACTTATGTTAACAAGTGGTTTTATTTATATTTTACAAAAGAGAAAACCTTCTTGAAAATATAAAGAAGGAGGTTTGAATCAAGCATCCAGAAGTGAAATATGGCTGCTGACTGCTTTCTGATACTATATATTAATGCATATCAAGTGTGGTCCTATTTTTTATCTGAGTAACACTGCATTTTGCTGTTTGCCCTGCAAACGTAACTAAAATTCTTTTCTATGCTCATATAATTATGTATGAAGATGACATAAGAATTTTTATGGCTAGAGATAATTTTTTGCCTTCCTAATGAGTGAACTTGATTTTACATCTGGGAATGGAAGACAATGTCTTTCTGCTAAAAGCTATATGGCTTCAGCTAGATTATCTGTTAGTGTTAACAACCAGAGAAGTTACTCCAATAAAATGGTAATATGGGGCAAACTGTCTTTATCTTTGAAGAGACTGCATGCATTTGGTGAATATTCAACACACATACAGTACATTTTATCAAAGCAAACACTCCAGACAAACCTATTGTATATTCTTGATTAACATACTTTTAAGAAAACAAACAACGACCACCAAAGAAGAAACTATGAAGTGTTTTTTTCCTTCACAGCGAAGTCAAAGAGAATCCAGAGCAAGTGACAGAGCTACAAGAATTTGCCAAGTTTTTGTTTGTCAGCATTAATCTGCAAAATGCTGCTTCTTAGGCTAATCTTACTCCTTTTCTTCTGCTAGTAAGTCATGTCAGCTCCAGTTCATGAAGTGTTATTATTTTCTCAGTAAACATAACAGATCTGGGACTTTTCAGAAATCTTTTGGAGTTACTGTACTACTGCCTGGAGAGCAGAAGAACTTAACAGGGAAAGAAATCAATCAATGAAATGCAGTATTATATAGCTTTTGAAAATCAGGTAGTGGAAACTTTGGCCCATATACTTAAAATCATCAATTTTTACTGCAACCAAAAGGCACTAGAACCAGAATCAATGGGAAATGGACACCTGCATGTTGTTGACAATATATGTATCTTTGTGGACCATTTTAAAATTAAGACTGAGAATAGCTGGGATTTTAGGGCACATTTCTTCTGGAAACAAATCAAAGTGGGGAGAGGGAAAAAGAAGAGGGGAAAAGAAAATAACACACACCAAACCCTGCAACATGGTTATGACCCAATAACATGCTGACCAGTGTTGCTATATTTAGGCTGGACTGGTAAGCAAACAAACATTTGCTACTGCAAACTTCAGTGGTTGATGCTCACAAAAATCTGAAATAACCGAGAAGGAAACTTTCAGGAAAGGCAAAGAATAATATCTGGTGTTATCCATGCATCAGAACTTCTGGCTATGCAAAAAGATTTTGGCCATACAAACATTAGTTCTGCCCTCACAAGGAAGGAAAGATACAAGGAACATTCATGAGAGAACCACAGTTCTCACAGGAATTAAGATTTTACACATTTGAAAACCTTGCAGAGACATTTTCAACTTTATAAATTAAGAGAGATTGATAGCTTAAATTCTACCCACTAAAACAAGATAAATTCTCTTAAAAATGCGAGATAATATTTAAGCCCATTTTGTGTATGATGGCTGTTCCCATTCAAATCCTACACCGTATTTATTTGCATAAGTTCTATCATATACTATCTCATATGAACATACCTCTATCAATTCATCTCTCTGTCGAAGGCCTTCTTTAAGTTCATCCAGCTTATGCTGTAGAACACTGCATGTGTGTTTCTGTCTTTCCAACTCCTATATTAAATAAATTCGTTTTTTATATTTCTTTTGCATTTGACACTCATTTTCAATATAAAGTTTTAAAAAGTTAGTAATATCACTTAACATTACATTATCTAAGAAATTACTGCAACAATTTGATAAATTCTACCTAGCAAGTGACTAAAAATCACAGAAACAGTGTTTTAGGTAAGTTCTCTAGATACTTACAATACAGAATATTTTATTTAATAAAATTTAGAGTGGAGAGAAAAGATGCCATAAAGGTTTAAGCACAATATTAACAAGAAAAGCTCAGATACTGGATTTATCTAAATATTGCTGGAAAAGACTGCCACACAGATCTTCCCTTTTGAAGAAAGTGGGACTGAACATGTCCTATTCCGTTCAAATGCATATTTTATCATTTGCATTTAATGGGGGCGGGGGGTGGTTTTTAGGGTTTGTTTATTGGTTTGTTTTTTTTGGCAGGGGGTGGTGGTGGTTGGTTTTTTTTGGAAAAAAAAAAAACCAACACCAAGCAACAAAACACAATACTCAAAACATCTCTGGCCACTGAGATAGACAGACTTTTCTACTAATCCAAGAGTTTTCAACTGTTCTTACTAAGTAGCCCAGGCTTCTATGATTTATCTTTATAATTAGAAAAAAAAGAGTCTTAAAAAAGTCAGTACCTTTGACTTCTCTTCATTCTCCCTATACAACTCAGCTATCTGTTCTTCTTTCTCCTCAATGACGTCCTTTAGAGTATCCACTTGGTAAACCAAGTTGTTTTTCTCATTGTCTAGTTGAGCATTGGAAACCATAGCTTTCTTGTACTTCTCTTCAACTTCAGCTAGTGAATCCTATAGATAGTAGAAAGGCTTACATTAGTCTAACTTTTTGATGCATTGTGATAACATTAAAATACCACCATAATGCTGAAGAGTGCTGTCTGTTATACAGTACAATTACATAACCATTTTTGTTTCTGAATTCTTATTCATGTCTTCTCTTTAGAAATACCAATTCCATTATTCAGGTTAAGTCATACACAGCAGTGAAAAGTTATCATTACAAAAGTACGAAAATTACAAGATAATATTCCACTTGCATTTTCTACTCTGCTACCTTCACCACTTAACTCACAGGGATAAAGTAGTCATATCACAGCTTTATTTTATTTTCAGTGCATGCACAAGAAAACACTTCAGAATGAGGCAACAAATCTGACAGAGAACTGAGATAATTAAATGACTAAAAAAGATCACAGAAATATCTCTAAGAGTAGCCTTAACTTAATGCTTGTTATGTAAGTTGTGCTCTATACCTCAGATTCAAAGCTTTAAGGTAGTCACACTTTTTAAGTAATAATAATTCTCTGTTTAAGCAGACATTTTGTCTATTTCTTACTAAGATTAAAAAGAAAAAAGAAAAAATGCATGTAAAGATTCACATGCTTGATTCTCTACCTGAAGGTGCACATATGCCTTGCTATGACCCTCTTATGCAATTTTCTCATGGTTACAAAATTATTTTATCCTATTATTTTTTCCTCAGTACTGTAACAAATGTCAACTATTCAAATAATAGAACTATCACTCCAGACTCTGTAAAACATGCAATTATTTCAATATGCATGCTTTTAAAAAGACAAAAATTGAATTTCACAGAGTCCTAATTTTAGAATTGAAAAAGAACTATTAAGCTGTTCCTTTGCCAGAGTAGATCTGTGCCCTTCTACAAATCCCCTAGTATTTCATGTAATCTGTTCTTTGAAGGCATAGATAGCATAACCTCCATGTTTAGTTATTTGTATTATGACAGTAGAAGTATCAGCACAGGAAGGGCATCAGGCTTGGGTTTTCCAGAAAATATAACAGTAGGATAAGATATTAGAGGAGAGGGTGGTAACAATCTAAGTTTTCTAAGAAAACCTAAAAAAACCCAACCCCCAAGCCCTATTGCATGTCATAAACCTCCATTTTGAGAAAGCTGTCCTTAAAGTACCTATTTTAACTTTTATAATTTTATCATAGTTACATATATTTATATCTTGCTGTTCCATTCACTAAATTCTGGAATTTTGTGCTGGAGAAAAACAGTATTTTAGACACTCCAGAAAAAATAACTCAAGACATATCCTGATAGCCTACAGATCAGAAGAGACAAGACAGTATAAGTAGTGAAAAGATAAGAAAGGTACCATTATCATCTGGGAAGCAGTAAATAGCAAACAGCAAAGAAAACTCATTATAAGAGAAAAGAAAATGAAAAAATAACGAACACATTTAAGTACATTCAAGTAAGTCTTAAGAATTCCATGTAGTTTCAGTAATCTTCCAGTTTCGTGAGAAATAATACGGATTTGGAAGAATTTCTGAAACACTTGAATGAGACACTGGGATGCCTAAGGATGAAGCAGTGGGAACAGGCTGGAATGAAAATGGATAATAAGGCCCTGCACATAACCTAAAGCTATGAAGAAATACCACCCACAATTCTATCAGTAAAGCCAAAGGGCTATGCAAAGTAGCCTGCTTGGCTAGAACAGGATGATTAAACCCAGCAGACATCAAGAGAGTGCTCTAATGCATAAAAGACAATTTTTGAGGAAAGAAAAAGGATTCCTTTCCAGTTGATGCAAGGGAATATAGAAAGAATCAACAAAACTGAATCAAACTGAGACATCAAAAGATTTGAAGATTTAACTAAACCAGAACTATCCACATTGGAGTTTATTCTGCTGACACCCAGCAGATTTGTAGCCAGGTAAAAACCACACTCTTAGTAGCATGAGGTATGAGCAACCACAGAGATATAAAGATAGTGTGATTACAAATCACTGTTATTCAACCACTGAGAAAACACTTAACAGGAGTGTAAAAGCAGGTATCCTAGTAACTCGTCTAATGTACACAAGACAAAACTCCTAAAGCAGAAGTTGAGAAAAAGGCAATACCTTCCTAATTAGAAAGAAGAGTTCCTGAAAAAAATTTCCATGGAAGGCAAATTAACTTAGGAACATATTGTTCAGTATTAACAATAGCATAAAATGCAATTCAGTTTTGTAAGCCAAGCATAGATCAAGATCTTACTGTCTGTTGCACACCTGTGCTCTTTGGTAACTGTAACGGATTACAATAAATAGCAGTGCATTAGTAATGATTCAGAACAGCAGTCATGAGATGCTGGCAAACATGCAAAAGTGCGAAAGCTAGATCCATTCTGAAAATATGAAGCAATCTCACGTTTTATTCAAATTTAGTACAATCATAGCTATGTCTAATAATCTTGTAATCTACTGCTCTTTGAAGTCCTTTTAATATTCAGATGGCAATACGATTAAAACAAGATGTACTTCATCTGAGCATATGGCTATCAGATTCAAAGTTACTTATCCTCTAAAGAGGAAATAATTTTTGCTATACTGAACAGCTCCAATTACATATTTTCTCTTTACTATACCATCTAATATGTTGTTTAATCAAGGAAATTCAAGGAAGCTGCTAAATACATCACTGTTACATGCTCCAGTACAAGCAGCATTCATTAAATTCAGTCTCTATATGGATATAAAACAAATATGGAAAGATCTTTTTACTTTTACATGGAACCATTCACAACTAGATAACAGGAAAAAGAACAGAACAAATATCCTGACAAAGATTTGTAAGCCATATAATTTGGTGTATCCAGTTTCCCTTCAACACAGAAGAGGGGAAAATAATCATACTTTAATTAAATGCAAACTATTAATTGTGTGAAAACTTACAAAAGAAAATCATACATACTAATTTAAACAAGTCAAAATAAAGACAAATCTCATTAACCTAATACTGAAAATACCAACCTATAATTTAGACAAAGATAATGGGAATGTAAACCATAGGCATAAACAACCCTGCAAAACCTTTCATAATGGCAAAGGATTAAAACAAAATTAATCTCCTCTTGCAAGCAATATGCCTGCCCAGATTCGTTTCAGCACATCTTTCAAAATTATTACATTGGTTTTGCTTTATAAGATGTAGTATTTGTTGAAACTTGGAAGACTAATTCTTAATTTAAGTTCTTTCTCATAACTATATCCCATTTCTTTCTTCCCCATTCAATACATAGTAATTATTTTGAATATGCATTTATTTGCTAACAAAACTCTGAAAAATATAAACTGAACCTCTCATTATCTTACCAGAAAACACCTGCTAAAAATATGAATGTTTAATACTATTTTAACACAAACCAAATAATGAACATATACTATCTCAGGTACATTTAAATCATATCTTAATAATTTACTCACATGACAAATTTAAGCTGGTGCTCTCTATACATTAAAAGTTAGATACATGCTTTGAAGAAATTTAAAAACTTGTTAGTAAAGTCTTATATAGTTAGTGGAACCAGTGGTATCTCCATTACCCAAAAATACCCATACAGAATGCATGCTTGGGAGGCACCCTGATACCTTTAGTTCTTTAAGTCCCTGCATGTATCTCCCTTCTACATCGTGTATCTGGTCCTTAAGATCATAGATATCCTGCAGGACATAGGAATGAACCATTGCATAAGAAGTATGGGGAAATAATTTATAGTTGAAAAAATATTAAAAGGTTTACATGCATTTCTGTCAAATGCCAAAGCCTGCAATAATTCACAGAAATTGTAATTAATTCACAACTTGATGGAAATTAAGATTTGTTTATATCCCTGAATCCAAGCCATCTCAAATAGGATGGAACTGTTTCAAATTTGACATAAACAAAGTCTTATTTTAATATAAGCTAAACTGTTAGCACCATATTTACGAACACAACAAATACAATTACCAAGATAAATACAGAAATCTTTCATGATTAAGAATTACATCCTCATAACTTTTTCTTACTATTAAGAAACCAGAAGTTCTGTAGCAAAGAAAAATTCCTCCTAACCAGAAATACAATTTTAAACTAGCTCCAGATTCTCTGAAAATGCAGTTTACCCGTAATTCACTGAGGGAGGCATCAGGATCTACCAAACTGCTCGTGTCTCCACTTCCTCTCCTAGATGAGTTGCCACTCAGAGGAGTTGCACTTATTGAATTACGAGATGATGGCTTAAAAAGGGAAAAACACCGTATTAGGAATCATACTGTAACTTCTGGTATACTTGACATTACTCTTTATAAATTGCTTCACAGGCATAGAACAGTTTTCTCTCTTGTTTTTACCATTTCTTAATATTAGCTTATAGACAATATTTTCCATTGATTATTTTCCAGTGCTTAAGTTTCTTCTTGGTGAAATGTTAGTTTCTCTGTGATGACTTAACAGTTATCACAATATTAGTTTTGAGTCTTCTGTTCAGAATACTTTCATAAGGAGGCTGTTAGTGCTGAAAAACTGTAGAAGTTTAAAATATTTCTAAAAATTATAATTTCTGCCACCCAAGATTCAGAAGAAAATCTCCAGTGGAAACTAGCATATGAATTTTTATAGGCCTAACCTCTTAAAATTCAACCTTTCCTGCTAAATATTTCTCACAGAAAATAAATTCTATAAGAAACTAATACTTGCTAAAAGTAAACTAAAGAATAAAAATCGTTCCTCAGGAAATAGAAGATGCAATGCATTAATTCTGTAGATAAAAAGTATGTCTAAAAATATCTCTTTGCAATCTCTTAAAAATGACTAAAATACACTCTACTAAAAACACACAGCATTTATACTTTTGGAACTGTTTTAATACTTGTAAATTTATGGCTGAATATTAACTTCTAATAATTTTTAAAGTAAAAACTCTTACCCTTGAAAATATTTCTGAATGTGATTTTTCACTCTTTTCTTCCAGCTGAAAGAGAAAAGGCAAGATCACCACAACACATCTTTTGCAATAAGGGACTACTGAATCACCATCTTCTGTTCAAAGACACTAAGAAATATTTAAGAATGAAAAATGAAAAAAATTTTAAAAAAAAAAGAAATTCCAGAAGTTAGCATAGATCAAGAAAGGAAGAAAAAATAGTCAGCCTGGAAAAGCAGTTTTTACCTCAATTGCAAAATAAATGAATGCTTGTAAAGAAAAAGCCAGAAACTTTTTTTTTTTAAGTTTTTAAAAAGTCATTACCAATATTAAAGTACTGATCAACAAAGTATGTTTCACTTTTTAGAATTTCAACAGGATAGTGACTAGAACACATAGTGGCATAACAAACACAAAGCTTCATGCAAGTGCACTTCAGACAATCAATGACACCAGTGTGAATGCCCTAGTTATTAAAAACCACATTTGTTCCTTCAATCTCTTTGGTGAAACCTGCGATTACATCAGTAAAAAATAATTCAGTTAAAAGCCCGTAATTAAAGTGTACTGATTAATAGCAAACTACAAAACAATTTCAATTAATATTTTATGTATTTGAGCCTAAGCAAAAGAACTATCACCCCCCCTCTTATTTAGGAAACTCGTGATATTGCAAACTAATATTGCAGATTTCCATATTTTCTAGATTTCTATAAATGACAATAAGTGGAATTAAATGAAGACACTACCATGTTGCTGTATTTCCTACAACAAGTATGATACGTTGAATATGGTGTCTCAAATATGTGGCTTCTTTGAAAACACCTGATTTTCTCCGAGCCCAGGGATAAGAGATTTGGGAGTCTGCTACAATCACAGTAGAAACAAATGTTCCTTTATGACACCTTTCTTTTTCCGTCTGTTGTAGTTTCTACAGAAGCAACACTGCATTTCCATGGTGAATGCACCATCTCCAATGATGTTCCGATATTGTGAATTGTAAGTATTTGTCACCACTGTGATAGTAAAATCATGTTAAGAATCCAATTGATGTGAAGTATCCATTTAGACTAAGTTAAATAAAGATACAATTCTGGAATCTAATAATACATAATAATGACAATGATAATAATATAAGCAACTGAGAAGGTAGCATAATTGCCAGTCTCAGCCTCCACATTTTCTTTTACTAGAGCATTAATTTCAGAAAAGCAGGTTTATTGGAGAGGAAAAAAAAAAAAAGCTAAAATTTAAACTGGAGAAATAACTGGTTTATGTCATGCTTTGAGCACGTTTAGATGATAAATACTGTGCATTATTACAATACAAGTTACATAGCACTGTAAGAGTATTAAATCATCTAAATGCAGAATCACAGAAACAGTGCTTGTAAGGGTACTCTAGAAGTCACCTAGTCCAGCCTCCCTTCCAAAGCAGAACTGACACCAACAGTCCAGGTTAGCTGTGGTTTTATCTAGCTAAGTCTCACCAGCTCCTGAGGATGGAGGTTCTCCAGCCTTGCCGTAACCTGTTAGAGTGTAACACTCCTGCTGGAGCTTCTTGCAGTGCCTCATCTGAACCTCCTAAGCTGCAGTGTGAGGCTGCTGCCCTGTGTTGCACTGCTTGGCACAGCTATGAAGGGTTTGGCTCTTAAACAAGCAGTTGCAGGCTGCTGATCATAGAATCATAGAATCGTTTAGGTTGGAAAAGACCTTTAAGATCATCCAGTCCAACCATTAACCTAACATTACCAAGTCCACACTAAACCAATTAAGGGTAGACTAGACTATACCATGTCCCAGAGTGCCACGTCTACCCATTTTTTGAACACTTCCAGGGATGGCGACTCCACCACTTCTCTGGGCAGCCTGTTCCAATGCTTGACTACCCTTTCTGTAAAGAAATTTTTCCTAATATCCAATCTAAACCTCCCTTGACGCAGCTTAAGCCCATTTCCTCTTGTCCTATCACTAACTACATGGGAGAAGAGACCAACACCCACCTCACTACAACCTCCTTTCAGGTAGGTGTAGAGAGCGATAAGGTCTCCCCTCAGCCTCCTCTTCTCCAGAGTAAACAACCCCAGTTCCCTCAGCCGCTCCTCATAAGGCCTGTGCTCCAGACCCTTCACCAGCTTCATTGCCCTTCTCTGGACACGCTCCAGCACCTCAATGTCTTTCTTGTACTGAGGGGCCCAAAACTAGACACAGTATTCCAGGTGCTCACCACATAGCATCCCCTTTGCCCAACTAAATAAGCCTAGTTCTCTCAACTTGTCGTCCTACTGCATGTGCCAACACTGACTGTTATTTCAAAAGACATGCCTAAGAACAGAAATGTCCCTATTTTTTCCAATATTAAACAATAAAGTGTTGACTGCAAGTAACAAGAGCTTCTAGAACTTATAGCAGCAATAAAGAGAAGGCAGCTAGGTTTGTTGTAAACAATGTTCAGACTAAAGGGATGCACAAAACCATCATAATTTTCCTGTAGTGTGCTCTATTGACTTGGGATTCAGTGCAAGAGCATAGCCAATAAGTGCTCCAGTAATGGATCTTGACAAAATCTCATCCTGGATGAATGAACACTAAACCACACTAACAAGGGCATAGTTTTAAGTATTTATTTTTGTCACTAATCCAAGTAGTAGTATTCCAAAAAGACACAGAAGATATTGTTAATTTTCACAAGAAAAAAACCCAACATTTTACTTTTAAGAGATGCTTAAGCTTATCACACACACAAAATGTGAAGTGTTAACACCTTGTCACATGCTTCTAGCAACAGGCAAAATACCCTTTAAAATAAAGCAGCATGCTTTTTAAAAATTCAGACTCCAGACATTTTTACACAAAGCCCAGGCCCAGCCCCTCAACAAACCTATTTGCCATTAGATAACTCTGAATGTTTTTACAGTATTTACTCTTTCAGAGTATGAAAAGAAAATCCGTGGTTAGTAAGTTTGCTGTATTCACCACAGTGTAACAACAAGCATTACACTCACACTATTCAAACCTTGGAGATCGTCTGCATCGGAAACAATGCTTCCCCTGCGGTTGGAACGACTAAAATAGTCAGCAGCAGTTTCACTTTGATCAGAAAAATCAGAGGACTTCAAAAGATAAGGAGAAGGGTGAAAGAGAACTGAAGATGATGCCAGAGAATGAACAGAAGTTTATTTAAAAAGAACAAAGAGGAAATCCTAACTTAGTTATTGCAATTTATTCTAGCTTTTTTAACAGTTTAATAGTTGTAAAATCTCAATTACTCCTTTAGATTTTTTGCTATTTTAAATGTGTCTACATGAATAAAACATGTGCCACACTGATATGAATACTTCAGTCAGCATATGCATTGTTTTTAAACACTCTCTTCACATGTTTATTATTCTTATAGTTTACAGTATCTAAAACTAAAAGCAATGAACATTTATTATTGATTCATTTTCCTCATTTGTAGAAATATAAAAAATACAAATCAGAGATACAAGAGGGTTTAGTACTAATATAGTGCCAAACACAAGCTACAAAAAGTACCTTTTTAAAAAAAAAGTTTGTAGATCATAAAACCAGATTATATAATCAGAAGTTGATACATGAAAGTTGTTATTTTTCTCTACAAATGTTGTCTTTTCTTGAAATCAACACGATCCCAACACTACTAATTATGAATATGATCTGGGCTTCCTCTCATTCATAGTTTTAAAAGACATTACAATAGCAAACAAGCCTACTCCCCAAAGCTATATGTCAGACAGGCACCTAAAAAGGTAAGGGAAAAATTCTAATGCTACACATCACTGGTAAAAAAGGCAAAATATCTAGCCACATTACAGTCATTACAACGCCATGGGAATTCAAGTGAAATATTTAACTGAGAAAACATTATGCACGTTAAACATAGTGTTTAATGAGATGAGTAGGTTTATCAAAAGTGTTGTATTGATAACATTCTACTTCAAAAGGCAGAAAGCGACTGTGAACATTATATTTAGTTTTGAAAGTGATTATATGGAAGAAAAATCTTTAAATGAACAGTCTGAAAATATATTGTCCTTATCCCATTTTCACCATTGTAAAAAATAATTCTTAGTTTCTTTGCACTTGAGGAACTTGACTGATGTAGCCTCATCTTATTCCAATTAAAAGATGGTGAGTTGGTTTTTATGCAAATGTGACCAGTTACATATAAAACAGTTTGCTGATGAACACCTGTCTCAGATTATGCATGCTTAGGACTACAGAGTTTGTATTTTTTATCACTGCTTGGTTACGTGCTATTTCTCTGACAAAGAATTTTCCAGCTATATATACATTTTAAATATCTTTTTTTTTTAAATAACGAAGTAAATCAATTTTCATAGTCTAAAAATCGACCAAGCTTTCTCATTTCACTTGCATTTCACATATGTGATAGTATAAAGTTGCCAAACAGAATTCTGCTTATACGAATTACGCTTACAGCAAAAGAACAGACAACTCAAAGGCTACGAGCATAATCAATGACAACACTGCACTCTTTTTTGTTCAAAACAAACTTATTTTTGCTGTTGAAAAGTCCATATATCTGACAAACCCTACTGTTCCTCCTTCTATACCTTTTGCACTTTTAATATATTTCTTAATGGGTTCATCAAAACTCATACAGCTTAAGATGGAGATGCACCATACAGTTTTTCAATGACTGTTTTCTATTCTGTTTCCATCTTCTCTCCTACTTTCTCTTTTGATTTCCAGTGTGTAGAGAGCTGACTTCCAATGTACTACCCTGACTGAAACCACAATACCAACCACAGAAACAGTAGAAAGTGAAAGTTAAGTTAGGAATAAGATTTTTACGTAACTGCTCAATACCCTTTTCAGAACTATTTCATTAAACAAACACTTTGAACGTTCACTACTGTGAGTGAACAGTACCTTGGCATTATTGTATCACATATACATACTGAGATCTGAGAGAGAGAGAGAGATTCCTATATATGTATAAAGCATATACTTTTAAGAAATTAATGTTAGGAGAAACTAAGGAGACAAGTAGTATTTTCACAGTTCAAGAGACTTTAGAGATGGATGTTAATAGCTCTTAGGTATTGGAACTTCATAAAGCAACAGCAAAATTCCCTTTTTCCTACACCCTCAAAAATTTACTCTGACATGTTTTGTAGCTAAAAACATCCAATCTGTGACAAATCTGGTTTTATTTGTTTAGTCTCTATAACATTGTTAAGAATATGTGAAAAATGAACACAGGACAGAACATTTCAATTTAACCTATACCAGAACACTGATCTACTTTTTTGTGTAGTGTGACAAATGAGCAGCTGTACCAATGAAACTAAGACAGTTGTTCTGTGGCAGAAACAGGGTAGAACTATTTAAAATCACTTTGCAGCACAACAAGCCATCTTTGGAATGATCCTTTTAACACAATACAGATCCAGGAACAAATTTTTCTCAGTTTTGAATACTGGTCACCATAAAAATGAGCTCGCTACTTCTTACCGCATGATATAACAAAGTCTGCATTAGTCCTATTCCCGAAAGACTTTTTCATACGTATTGTAGTAAGTTTCATGTGCCTGCCCAACTATGACATAAGGTGGTAACGCCAACAACATACTATACTCGAGTTTCCAATTGCTTCCAATTATATACATTGCAAACATTTAAAAGATGTTTAGAAAAGCAAATTCCTTATTGCTTCTACGCTTTACTGTCTTCCCGCTAAAACTTTACATCTTGCTAAAAATCACACCTCTGACAAATTAGATTTTTTTGATGCAGAATTGAAAAATTGAGTTTGTGTGTTGGTCAGTAAAATGATCTCCAGTGTAAATACTCATTAATCATTGTGCATTAGTATCAAAGCATTCAGCAAATCATGCAAGAGAAATGCTCACCACAGGACTACTTCGAACTGAGCTTGCTCTTGAAGAATAACTGTATTCAGATGGCTAAAGAAAAGTTATGGAGGAAAATTTCACAATTTTCATAGATTTTTGTCTCCAGAAAACAAAGACAATGAAAGAAACAACCAAAAGCCTATTACACTTACAGGGCGAGAACTATATGAGCTATGTAATCCATCACCATACAAAGATGCCTGAGAAAGAGGGAATGAAATACCATTTATATTTAGTCTCGGAAATAATTATGCCACACACTTATACACTGTAATTGTTACGCACTGTAATGTACTCTATCTTATCCCACCTATGAATTTTCCAGTTAACATTATACTTCTTGAAAGATGAACAATTTTTAAAAGTTTCCAGCAGCATTTCCTCCTCCTATTAGGGATGTCTATTTCCAAACATAAAACTAAGAATTTCCTTGAAAAATAGCCAAATAGGTTAAAAAAAAACTTAACTATTTTCAGAAGAAAATTAAATTAAATATTTAAATTACAATTTGGTTTTCACTATTCTGAAGCCTTCAAAAGTTTTAATCCACCTTGGGAACTGAAGCTATATTGTATACTTATCAGTTTTACTTTGTGCTCACCCATGCAGGTTTTCCTGAAGGAGAGTGTGTTATGGCTGGACTCAATGATCTTAAAGGTCTTTTCCAACCTAAATGATTCTATGATTCTAAGATGCAAGGCTGAAATCTGTTTATGCCGTGGATA